TAAATACTAAATCCAAAGTACAATTTAACTACTAAATTTAAATTATCAGTTAACTCGGCTTTGGCCTATTCGAAATTGTAATACGCAACAATATATACAAAATAAAGTATTGTCTCAAAGATCAGTTGTGTTTTACACTACTTAACTCTTTAAGTGGGAATAGTAATTACAACAATTCAGAAATAACCAACCATCTGCGAACCAGTCATTTAAAAGATTAATAAATTCTCAGTACTTCATGTTAGATAGTTAATGATGACAGATAAAGAACATGGATGAGAATGGTGTACTTTCCTTGTCTTCTTACACTCCACATGTACAACTGAAGCGTTCGATAATCGATTAAACTAAATCAGAAGAGAAACTGTTAATTACATTACAGGAGGGATGAATAGAGTAAATATTCAGGAAATTAATACCCATACATACACCAGTTTGCTCTATAGTAGGGTCACAGTAAAGTATAGACCCCTAAAAACGACCTCGATACATTGAATTATTTTAAACGGTTTAGCTTAATTTCATTTAACTTGTATTTTTCAACATATTTGACGCTTTTAGGATTTAGTTAGAAGCATTATTAACATATATATATATATAAATATGCGTTTCCCAATACACAAAAAAACTCCATTCAGGCATAACATAAACCTTATTAATAAAGGTAATCAAAACATGTGCAGGCCAACATTCGCGGGCGAATGCAACATGTCTCCCCCAAGAAATCCCAACATGGCCAATTTTGACTCAAGAAAAATCGTGCAAAACACAGAAAATCAAAAACTTTCTATATCAATGCTTGGGACCTGTAAGAAAGTATCTTTGTACCAAATACCATGTAAGTTGGTTAACATACACATGAACAGTTCACGAAAATCTCAAATTGTGCTTTCCTCGAAGAATAATTGGGCAAAAGACAAAAATACCAAAGTTGTCTATATTTCTGTTTGGGACCTGTAATAAAAAAATATCTTTGTACGCAAACTCATGTAAATTGGCCGAAATACGGTGGAGTACTTGTCAAAAGACCCTATAAGTATTGTTTGTGGCATCTTGACCACTCTATAATTACTAAAATTGGGCAAATACAACATTTTTTGTTTCTTAATGTGTATTGCCTTTAAAAAAGTATTTTTGTACCAACTTCCATGAAAAATGGTCGAAATAACGCTAAGTAATTGACCAAAACTCCTACAATTGTTTATTTAACCTTCTGACCTCTCATATTTTTTGTATGTATATGTACGGACTTGTGTAAAAAGGTATCTTTGTACCAAATCCTATGTAAATTGTTGGAAATACGGTGGAGTAATTGTCAAAAGCCCTAAAATTATGCTTTCTGTGGCACCTTTACCCCCACAATTACTAAAAATAAGAAAGCCTATAATTTTTGTTATTCAAAGTGAACGAACTATAGAAAAATATCTATGCACCAAATCCCAAGCAATTTGATCAACATACGTCCGAGTAATTGACCAAAAAACACAAAATTATGTTTTTTGTGACCTCTTACCTCCCCCCCAAACAAACAAACAAAAAACTCAAAATGAGCAAATCCAACTTTCTATATGTCAATGTGTTGGGCGTATGGAAATCTATATTTATGGCAGTTTTCATCTTGATTGCTGTATGACCGAACAGAAACCCAAAATATACATTTTTGGTTTCTTATACCTTTGACCCTATAAAATCCTTTAAAAATGCTTGAATCTAAAAGATAAGATACGAGTCTAGACATATTAAACCAAGGTATAATGTTACCAAGTTTCAAATCAATCCGCCGAGAAATGAAGAAATGGACGTCGATCAGAAGTATTTGGAAAGAAAGAAGAAGAAACAATAGAAAAAAAGGCATGTCTCTGTGTAGAGACGTAATAACGAGTTATATATATATATTGCAATACATGTGGAGTAAACTCTTATATTAGTTAGGTCCCCCGGTAAGTCAGTAGTAAATTTACGGACTTACAACGCTAAAATCTGGTGTTCGATTTTCGAAGTAGACAGAGCGCAGATAGCTTATTGTGTAACTTTGCGCTAAACAACATATTTTTTTAGAAATGTTGAATAATGTGTGTGTGTGTGTGTTTCTTAGTGAACAATTTTAAGGAAAACAAGAGAAACTATTTCGCAAAGGAAGTTTTAAATTTGTATTTATGGCAAAGATATTTAGACTGTCTAACGTTGTACCCAATTCTGATCCATTAGCCAGAGAGAACGCAGCTATCTATCAGCACCCTACTATTCGCCATTCATGTTAAGGAATGTATTTTCACTCTTATAATGCATCCACAGCTTAATATGCGCGTAAAATGTTACGGTATCGCCTGAATTCGAATCCAGCTCGCCAGCTCCAAAATCTAGAGCTCCACCTTAAGGCTAACCCGAAAGGAAGTTCAGTTATTCTTTTTTAGAAGATCAACTACTTGTAATAACTCAAAAGACTTTATGAATAAAATACTCCAGTATAACTTAGTTATCCTACAATTTTTTTTTTGAGAATATTAGAAAAACATCTCACATTTTTACGCTCTATTTCTACGAGGTAGCTCAGCGATAAGCTCGAGTGCTTATAACGCTAAAATTCGGGCTCGACTCCTGCAGTGGACACAATGCGGGAATACACAAACAACAATACAATTTACAATAACAGTTATTACAAATAGTTATTACAAACAATTGTATATATACAATAGTTTTAGAAACTTACAAACAATATAACATCTTCTTTCTGGTCTGGAACGTCCTTGATGTCTTATCGAGGGTTCACGATGAGCGAGTTAACTTAGATTTGACGTATGTACAATTCACTTCATTGGGAGATAGCTAGCTCTGTAGGCTTCGCTGATCACACGCCGATTACAAGTCGAGCTTGAGTTTTTTAACCCTGAAGTTATATAATGTCTTCGTAAAAATAATAATGTTCGATGTGAATCCACTGAATGGTTTATAATGTTCGAAATTTATAAATGTTCCTGGTCAAACAAAAATATTTACAAAGTAACATGCAGTAGCTGCCCAGAATTCTACATCGCAGAAACAGGAAGAAAATTTGGAAACCAGATTCACTGAACACAATAAAAAACCGTTCCATGTTTTCCACCATTGCAACTCAAAAAACAATAGTATATCTATTAAAAACACAGTAATTTTAAACAAAGAACCAAACATAAACATAAAAAAATCAAGGAATCCAACTTAATTGAACAAAACAACCCTACTCTAAGCCAACACCCTGGAGTGCCAGGATAACTCTTTTACGTCGTGCAACAGTATCCGGTCATGTGACCTTTTTGTTCCATACTGGATATACATATGTGTGTCAGTGTAAACTACTTGTATCTGATGATGTCAAAACCTTGTAGAAACGTTGTACATTTGCTGTTATGTTAAAGTTATATTAAAGTTTCTCTTCATTACCTATTCAAGCCGTCTCCAAGCATTATTAGCAAAATATATTTATATTAAAAAAAAGAAGAAACTGTGTGTGTATCAATCTTGTTGGCAAATACCATAAATTTGATACATATCGGCATTTATTTAACTACTAAATCTAAATTACAACTTAGCTCGGTTTCAGATCATTCGAAATTGTAATGCGTAACATAATATATATCCTATTGGTAGAATCGAAAATAATATATATCCTATTGGTAGAACCGTAAATAATATATATCCTATTGGTAGAACCGAAAATAATATATATATATCCTATTGGTAAAACCGAAAATAATATATCCTATTGGTAGTACCGAAAATAATATATATCCTATTGGTAGAACCGTAAATAATATATATCATATTGGTAGAACCGTAAATAATATATATCTCCTTGGTAGAACCGTAAATAATACATATTCCATTAGTAGAACCGTCATGAAGCAGTGCTTTTTTCTCAAGGCAGTATGTCATCCACGAGGTTAAATATACGTCAAACTGTCTAAATCACGAAGTTGATCTGAATACCAAATGCATTTCTATAGATTTATTTATTATTATTATTTTTTTTCCATATCTTTTATGACCATTGAACTCGACGGACATGTTCGCGTGAGAGAGAGCTAGCTTGTTATAGAGTGACTAATTACTATAGCTTCTTAGTAATTTCTTAAATCGACCATGTAATGCCCTCATCAAATCTGATTATCTCAGAGATAATGAAACTTTGGGTTTTAACATGGCATAGGATTAAATCGTTTTCAAGCACTTGCACGATTAAGCATCTGTGAATTAAACTTATAAATATTTTTGTTTCAACTTTAAACTATTAACGAATGATTTTATATCAACTACTTAAGGCCGTAAGATAACACTTTCAAGACTTGCAAAAACACGACACTTTCAAAGTGCTTGCATCAAAATAATTAAACCCAACTTTACAGAAGATGGTTCGCCTGAAAAACTGAGGATTTTTGAATCTGAAAACTGATAATCCAAGAATATTTAGTTCGTCGTAGATACAATAATTTCTATAGTGAATGGAAAACTTTACTTCCAACTGTGAGAGTAATGACAAAATAAACGTTTGTATTCGTAAGTACAACGTTAAATTGTTAGTTGTTTGGTTCTGCAGTTTTTATATTACAACCTCTTATTCTATAAAACTAATTTGTGAATAACGTTGAGTGAACGTGTAACTATTCTTTCGACCACAAATATAAGTCACTATCTGTAAAATGTGATATTAAGAATCCTATGTACAGAAAAACCACGTTTTAAAGTTAACCTTATCGTCTTCTCACCTGTTGTTTGGTGATATATATTGGTTTGTTCATAATAATCCACGTTATGGTCTCGTAACATCCCGGAAGCGTTGTTGAACCTTCGTAAGTTATGTAGAAGTCTGTGTCAGGTAGGAGCTCGCGGACGGACAGATGACCAATATGTGCTTTCTGTCCTGAAACATAGATCAGTAAAAATTCCAATAATAAGGACTTTTTATTTTTTATGAAAAAAATATGGTATGAAGATTATAATCTATTCAGTAATACACTTATAACCTATTATTTATGTAATGTTTACTAGTAATTGATATAAATTCTACTATGATAATTTAATTTTTCAATTCACTACACACTGTTTTAAAAGACAGCTTTTTATTATACTCTATTTAAATCACCTTTGGCAAAAAAAATGTGTTAAAAAGTGATGCTAGAAATGTTATTTTTAATGTATTTTTCCAGTTTCATTTCAAATCAATTTCATATTGTGTGAATTGTGTGATAAAACATTTAAAATACAATAAAAACATGCCACAATATGTTTTGTACTGTGAAGGAACGGAAATTAAACTCCTGAACGGTATTTCAGGATATAATTGTTTAATAGTATGTTTTCAAATACTTCGTCAAAACATATGGATACTGGTTTTTATTCGTGTTTTATGTGGTTTGTCTTTCAAGTGTAACAAGCTTTAATCCAACTAAAATAATGAAAACTCATACAAGTACGTAAATGTCTTGAATGTTAGATTTGTTCGCAGCACCAAGTGTAACGAGTTAAAAGATCTGCATTCCAGAGAATAAACACACACGTATATATGTATATAAATATGTATAAGATATATGAATATCCAATGCTAAATATGCAGATATGGTATTTTTATATGATATATTCCTTAATTTTTTCAGCAATGACAAACGTAATCTCTTAAGCAGCAATACGTACGATTATGTAATTTTCTATTTTTGTATTAATCATTCATATCATAGGACCGTCTGCGTATTCATAAAACAAATCCATGTTTTAGCTATTATTAAAGAGAGAAGTATTTTCTGCACAAAACACATGGTTATATTTTATTGTAAATAACCGAAAGCTGAACGATGTTTTGTTTTAGCGCAAGGTGCGTTCTATCCACCACGGGCAATCAATCTCCGAATAGCTTCACGACGAAACTGTTCTGAACGAGTAAGGAAAAGGAACATGGAATATTCTTGAAGTAGTCTTTTTTCTCAGTAACGTTTTAAAGTATGTAAAACACCAAACCTGCCAATATATTTGACTGCTTACAAGTAATACGATTATTTCTACTTTAATTTAAAAGTACCAAACAGACATTTGCATTTTTACAATAAATAACAATTATGAGTAAAAAGAACTGTTTGATTATTGCATATCTTTAACATATGACCACATGACCAAGATCGCTCGAGTTTTAAGGAAAGCCAATAAGAGAAAAATTGAAGAGCAAAAGCTATGATTAGCGATTATTTCCACAGAACAGCTGTTTCCAATCGCTATTTACCCACTGTATTTAAGATAGTTTAACGCATTTAATATTTTCGAAAAGATAAATTTTTATGGATCTTTTACTGTAAGCCATAATTATATAGAAAAGAAAAATTCTAAATCCTTTAGTTGTATGATTCATTAATGTTCCGGCTGGAGGTGAACCGTATAATTAAAGTACAAAGCGTGAAGACTATATACAGATGGGTCAGCAAATTACAGCAAGAGCGTTATAGATAAGGAAAACAATTAATATTATGCAATTGCTAGTAATCGTCGCCAGCGTGAAAGCCACCTTGTAAACGCTAATTAGAGCGTACAAGAAACGTTATAATGAAACTTGCACAGATGAAAACTTAATTGTACATAATTATTTAGAACACGTCGTTAATCACAAATGAAAATTACAATGTTTGTATCAAACATTACACCCGTGAGTGAACTTTAAAAATTCTAATCATTGTTTATAGCTTAGCCTATTATTTGCATAACAAGTTTGGCGATGAGATTTAAAATTTTGTGAACACCAAACAAAGTAAGGTGCCGTTATCACCAAAGCTAAGAAAACATCGTTTGCGAAGGGTAGCAATATAAACTTATAGACAAGCCATAAAGCTCTGGTCTTTCAATATAAAAACTATCACAATTAGAACTTGATACATTTTGATATATGACCAAATAAGTTACTCCCTTTGTGTAAATATAGATTCACAAAGTGTTTCACATTTTAATAAACAGAGAATATTCCGAGATAAGTCTACGTGTCTCCAGTAACAACCATATCGTGTAACCACCATGCAGTGTGCTCAATAAACAGAAATGTATAAATAATTTGTAATCAAATGTTTTTAAAGAATCATGTATAACTTAATATTAAAGATATGAAATTAAGAAAGTATTTCTAATTTGTTTATTTATTTTTATCAGGATTTTTAAAGTATAAAATTTTAATGCATAAAATGTTAAGAAAATAACTTCAGATATACTTTACACTCAAAGCATGATGACCTGAGATGAACTTTACACTTAAATCACGGTGACTTAACTTATATTTTACACTCAAAGCGTGGTGTTTTCAGATATGTTTTACAACAAAAGTGCAAAAAAAATTAACAAAGTCAATTTAATGAACGAAATTGATATAACGCAAATTTGAACATATTGGTTAAGAATGATAACTCTGCACTCAAGGCAGAAAATGACTACAATGTAGATCACGTCTACATATATATATAAATCTTCAATCATTTTATAGCGCAATTTATACAACTTTGGTATTACAATCTATCAGAAAATACTTAAGAGTAATTTTGAAAAATGAAACTTTTGAACAGCCCCATTTATTCTTAAGCTCGCCAGCTAATACAATAAACATGTTATTTGCCCCTCCCTCCAAAAAAAAAAAAAAAATCTGTAATAAAATATCCTTATTTTTTGCGTTTCAAAAGACTAAGTATATGCTTATAAATAGTTAGCGGTAACGTACGAATTTATGTAAATGAAGTTAGAGAATAAGAATTATAGAGACGCGTTGTACGCATACATATACAGACAATTATAAATTATATAAATAGATGTTGATTTCTAACAAAGATATATCGAAAGTGAGAGAGCTTAAAGTAATGCTAGAAAAGGGCTAGTAAGAGATAAAAGTATAATAAAATGGGTTTGGTTTTAGATGTATAGTTACTTTTCAATATACAAGGTGACCAATAAGTTTAGAAACACTTTTGAAAAATCACACCTGAAAAACGTTCAGCATAGAATTGTTATAAGTGGAAGAATAATGTTTAAAGCTACGAGTTATACCCAAAATGTCGAGTCTGTACCTAAATGTTTTGCGACATTGTAAGAGTAACTTTTGTGAAGGCTTCTTGGATACATTAACGCAATTCATCCTTACTCTCAACGTTGCTAACGTAAACAACGTCCTTTACGAAACTCCATGAAAAGGCCGTAGGCGTCCCTCACCCAATTCGTTGACTGAAGAATGTTTCATTTTGTGTTTTTTTTGCTTATGTGGGATGCTTTCTGTCATCTTACGTTGATGAAACCATTTGTAAATCCCTTACTTGTAGGTGGATATCGTTGATAACAACGTTTAAACTCCTTCTGCTCTTGTGTAGGGGATTCGAACTTGGCGACCACAACACACACATTATACTTCAGACTGAAATCACGCGCTTTTCAGACACCTAAAGTTTATCGTTTTTTTAAAAGGAGTATTGTAATTATTTTTAATTATTCGTGCACGTGCAACAAATCAAGTGTTTTCATGTTAAACAGTTTTCCCGGCATGATTTTTCAAAAGTGTTTTCAAAAGGTTTTGAAAACTCTATGTATAAATACAGAATTGAGTTATTAAAGTTTTAAATTGCTGTCGTTTGAACTAAAATACTAAAAAGCAGTATACATGGAGTCTAAAATAGTCAAAATATGTAACATTTATAATTATTAAGTTGTCGGGATCTCATGACGTTTTTAGCTTGCTGAACTAAGCCTAGCACTTAATGGTGTAAAAAGAAGAAGTGGTGAACTTATTGGTTTTGGTCTTACAACATTGCATCTTAGAGTTACGTCAATTTTCAAAGGAAACGTGTACGACATTAATACCCTTCCCAGGGATACTAAAACTGTTCCAAAATATTCATGAAACAAAACAGTTCTTGATAATCACGACACGCTTTTTTTTCACAGAATCTAAGCTTTTTTACCGAGATTATTTTATCATAAAACTAAAAATACTTTGATAAAACAATGTGTTCCTGCAGTGAGACTTAAACATTACCCTCGTCAAACTTTAAGATTGTCTTATGAGCCCTAATCTTCTATGCATCAACATGAATATTATTTTCGTCTTTACCAATTAATTACACCACAGTATCATATTGTGTGATTTTTTTTTACGTCTTGAGTCGTTTAAATAATGTCTGATTTAATCTGATTTCTACTGTAATATGAAAGTAGAAGTACGAGCCTATTTGTATTAAATATTATTTATTATTTTGAAAGGATGATAAAACACGCTGCAAATTTTTCAAAAGTATATTATAGTTTGAAATAATATAAATTAAAGTAATTCCATAAGTAGTGATTCTTGTACTGTAGACGCGCGCGCTGATTGGCTGCCTCAGGGAGGGTAGCCTACTAAAGTCATGTCACTATCTAAGGGTCAGTTGTCCTACATCCCTCAGGGAGAGGGAAGGGGTAGAGACGATGACATCATAGCGCCACACACCAGAGACGATTACGTTATAGTTCCACGACGTGGCAACCGAGGGAGCGTTGCTAGAGGAGAAGGAGAGTGTAGGACGATGAGGTCACCAATGCAGACATTTCGCGAACGATTCACCAGAGGGTGATGTACATCAATAGATATCAACATCTGACTCAGTCGTCAAGTTTATAGTAACATCCAAAGCCTTATAATGATATTTTATCTAATTTGCACAGTTCTAAAAACGATGGGGTGAGGAGGATAGTGCTACATAGGTTAGTGTTGCTAGGGAGATAGTGCTACTAAAGTAATACAGATGGACCAAGGATAGCATAAAGATCTCAACATGCCTCAACTTATGTTTTCTTTATCCCGTCTATATTTAATATTTATCCCATCTACTGTTTCACTTTTATAAGTTAAACCACAAGACAGTTGTATTTTTAAGT